AGTATGTAACAATAAACTCTTAATGGACAATTACAAGGGCTAGATTATACATTCTTCGACACTGTCTATGTTTGAATTTTTAAGCTTGCCACACAACACAGAACAAAATAATTTAGCGTAGATGCCGGGTTTGTGAGGCTATTCCATCATGAATATGATTGTATGAAATAAGTAAAATGTCGTGGTGCACACGTATAGTCAGTGTGGTTCTCTATTTTTTTTCCAGAAAATGACAGTTTCATAGTACTCTACTGACAATCAAGTTGACTAAAGTCAAGTAAGAGTCGTTGATGGAATGGAACTTCTATAATTAAACTTGGATTATGTAAATGAGATTCGAACAACCATTCTCGTATTAATTGAAAAAAAGAATATCATACACAGTGAAAATATATAGTGAAATAAGACATATTTTTAGGAAAAAAATTTTACTTGTTGGGAGTCTTTCAGTTTTTAAATTAATACTCCATCTGTCCGAAAAAATAATTTCACATTAAATTTTAAAATTTGTACTAATTTTAGTACAAATTTTAAATGTGAACTTTTTTTTTGGGACAAAGGGAGTATGTATTCAACATAATAATAGTTCTTCTTAAGGAGTTTTTTTTATGTGCTGTTTCAACTTTGATTGATGGATAGAATATATTAGATTGGTTCTAAATAAATATTTGTTATAGTTCCTACATAAACTCGGTAATCGTCTATTTCATCTTACCTTTTCACAATTACTAAATCAATTCCCTGCTAAGATAACATAATTCTGATAGGATATACTCCCTCTATTCTAAAATATATGTCGTTGGAGGAAAATTAATTTTTTTTAAATAGACGTCGTTTTCGCATATCTAGGCATATTTTGTCAACTTTTTTCAATATTACCCTTACATAGAAAATTGTAATTGTATTTAAAGTAGAAGTGTATTAGAATTCAGTGATATTGAGAATAGAATTGTATTGAGAATAAATAAAGGTAATTTAGTATTTTAATCAAATATTTATTGTCTCCTTAAACTTTGTGAAACTCCTCCAACAACATATATTTTAGAATGACGGGAGTAAAATTTCTTGTACAAGTGCTGAAAACGTCAGACATTATGAGGTGAAACCGAAGGCCATTTGCTTCGAAACTTAATTTATGAAATTCTTACATATTCCCTCGTCATTTTTAGTGTAATTTGACCAAAAGCAGAAAAATATGCGATCACATTAAAAAATTGCTTCGTGATAAGAAGCTACTAATTAAATTAGGAAACATAATAACACAAATGTATGACACAGTATGTGGAGAAGACTGATTGTTGATATTTTTATGCGGGATATATTGATTGTAATTTAAGTACTCCCTTCATTCTAAAATAAGTGTCATTCTAGAGTTTGCACACATTTTAAGAAATACTTAAATAGGGTAGTGAAATTACGAGAATATACTCAATTAACCCCATTAAAATAAATGTCCACTAATAATATTATTTTTTTTGAGGGTATATTTAGAAATTTTTGACAAAAAATGCATTTAAATCCGAAAACGACACTTATTTTAAAATTTTTCCATTTTGCTAAAACGACACTTATTTTGGAATGAAAGGAGTACATAGATGATCTAATATGAAATCATTGTGTTATATATACAGTTTCAGCATACAACGGCCAAATATTTAATCACAACGTCCAAGAGACTTGTTGACGATATTTGGTCCAAAATTCAACTTGACGGCTGGAGTTAAAATGATGCACAACCTTTCATGATGAACATCTCACAATTCACAAAGCAGGAAAAAAAAAAAAAAGTGAAAACAGTTTTTTTACGGCTTTATGTTGGTACTTTTGTTATCGGGAACATTTATATCAAATATCAAAATAAAAATATTGCCCATATCCATGACCTCTTTCGGATTCCTAGTTGCATTTTGTGACCATTCCGACCGTTATCGGGTCAATGAGTTCACTAGCTAGTAAGAAAGGTGACTTATCAACATAATATGATACCCTCCGAGTTTCAAAATTATTAATCCAGTTAGATTCTAATTTTTAATTCGCATTGTATTGATGAAATTAAGTTAGACAATAATTTCGGAACATAAAGAATCCTTTCTTTGTTTCAAAATCTTTGTTATCTGTTTCCGTTTCATTGTATTGTCAAGTATATAACACTTTAATACATTATATAAAAGCGACTTAGTTATCTCAAAATCTATGGTCAATGAATACGGTGATAGAAAGAACTTATAAACAGATAATAGATCTCTCACGCATACAATGTGGATTCTTTGTCTCAACAAGACACTCAAATTGAATGGGTTATTTGGTCCAACATAATTGTACCACACTTATAATTCACGAGATCTCTCAGCGGCTGATATGGGATACTTTATCCCAACACCTTCCTTTAAGTCAATGAGATTGTAAATAACATAACATAATTCAGAAAAGATATTACTGGATTAATCCACAACTCTAAATATATAGTTAGTTCAGTAACAAGCTTGCACACAATATATAGGTCTCACAAGCCAATACATATGAGTACACACACAGGACATGAGCTTTGGTAGTATTCCTTCCGTCCCATAATTATTGTCTATTTTACCCAAAAACTTTTATCCCAAAATTATTCTCCAATTTGACTTTTTATGGATCAAGTTACACATTTATCCTTAGTAAAAAATATTATTCATAAAATCTTAGTGGTTAAACAATTACTTATGTAGGGGTATATCCAGTTGTTTAAGGTAAAATATAGTTAATTTTGACCAAAAATAAAATATTTCATTTTAGTAAAATTGGACAATAATTATGGGACGGAGGGAGTATTAATTATTGTGTGATTACTGTCCCAACTTCTCTTATTTCAATTTTTTTTTCTGAATATGCTCTTATTTTAATTTTCTTTTTTTTTTTTGAAAAAAGTACCTATGTTAATTAAAGTTTACCTATGTTATTACTCCCTCCGTTCAAAAATAAGTGTCGTTTTAGCAAAATGAAGAAATTTTAAAATAAGTGTCGTTCTCACATTTCAATGCATTTTTTGTCCAAAATTTCCAAAATTACCCTCAAAAGAATTAATACTATTAGTGAACATTGTTTTAATGGGGTTAGTTGAGGATAATCAAGTAATTTTACTACCCTAATTAATAATTTGTTAAACTATGTACAAAGTGTAGGATGACACTTATTTTAGAATGGAGTGAGTACAACGCATTTTGTTAGAAGTAATATTGTGCAATTCTACTACTTCTAATTTACTAGCTTTAATTAGCTGACCAGAAGGAAAACTATCCATAAGCAATATTAAACGTTGAATCAGCGTTTGAGCTTCAACCAGTATGATGGCAGTCCTAAGGTTGGTGGTAAGTTGTTCACAATCCGTGTATCCACGAGTACGTTTGATACCCAAATTAGCCTCCTCCTGTAGTGCAAGGAAGCACGACATAGTTTCAGCCTAGAAAGGAGAGAGTGCTTGAAAGTCCACTGCTTTAAGTTGCATTATCGTTCCATGTGCTGAGACAATTTTCCATGCTCCAGTGGAGTAATAATTATGAGGATTAAACAATCCATCCATATAAACAACAGTTGGCGAGACAACATTTTGTTGTTGTGCAGGAGAAGTGAGATGGTCTTCAACACTGCTATGTTGTGGAAGGTGCCTTTCATGGAGTTTTTTATGAAGGTTGAAATCTGCTGGATTAATCTCCATGTTATGAGCAGGTCAATGACATATTAATATAATAATATCAGAGCAAGTTTTAACCATACGTTGCGAATGAATATTTTTATTGCGTGATTTTTTGTCTCAATAGTTTGATCATCTTTGATGATAAACTTATAGTACTTACGAATAATCAGGGCATTACCATTTATGCATGCAATATGTATATTGAATAGATAAAAAAATGAGATGGGATGGGTGGATGACAATGACTTTGCGCGAGAGGAACATTAAATGCTGTGCCCACAAGCAAAAATATCAAGCTTGTCGGCGATGCAACTTACTTGAACAACTTTTGACACTAAATTCATTGGCCATACAATAGAAACTTGCAGGAACAAATCAAATGTACCATAGATGAAAACCTTTCTTCTTCTGTCCAAGATTCTTACCAAAGGTTAATTGTTAAACCTTGAGTTTTTTCGTGTTAAATTATTGCTAGATTTCTTGTTTCTTAATCTTTAATTTTTTATTAGTTATATTAAATTTATCGTGCTAAAGCATAAACGATACAAATATTTGTCTCACGTAAATCCATTTTAGAGGATAAAAGTCTTTAAAAGATGATTTGTTCAAATTCAAACTACGGATTTAAGTAAGGATAAACTCTTACAGACTTATCGACAAATAACAATAGCTAGATAGTACATATGTCTATTTTGTTGATTTCTGAATTTTCAACCTTCGCCACACAACAGAGAACAAAATAACTGGGCGTATGACTTAAATGTCGTGGGGCATTGTAGAACAAAATAATTGGATGTAAGGTGCCGGGTTTGTGAGGACATTAATTGGAGCATGAACATGAAATAACTCAAATGTCATTTTGCATACGTAGAGTTTGTATGGTTCTCTATTTTTCTTTTCTCTGAAAAGGACAGTTTTGTAGTACTTTATTGACTAAAAGGTTGACTTAAGTCAAAAAAGAGTCGTTGATGGGCTTGGAACTTCTACAAAATTATTAACCTATATTGATGTAATTTGTTTGGTATGTGTTTTTAATGAAAATAGGTTCTTTTCAAAAAAGAAATTGAATTATTTAAATGGGAATCAAACTATCAAGTTCATAATAAAAATTCATTACCATAATCGAAACAAGTCCCTCCGAAAACTCGTGGAACTTATACATGCACAAGTAATTAAATGTTACTTTTCAACAAAATTAAAAAAAAAGGTTCACTAACTTCATTTATTAAAAGAGTTTCATCGCTCAAATAACACAAAACACTTACTTGTTACGCATAAAACTTCGAGTGCCTAAAATAAAAATATATATATATATATATATATGTATACTCCATCTGTCCAAAATTACTATCTAGCTTGAATTTGCAATTTTAGTTCAAATATTATCCTTAAATTATTTGAACTAAATGTGAAAATCTAAACTGGACAATAATTTCTGAACAGTAATTAACTTATAAATGAAAATCTGAACTAGATAATAATTTTTGGACTTAGGGAGTAATTAGTTTTCATTCTTATTGTTATATATATGGCCCTTGGCCGAGGTAAGATGTAAGTTACGTGTGGAGAAAACAAGTAAACTACTCAACATGACTAGTGTTCAAAAGCATTTCTCTCTTTCATCATTGTATCTTCTTCTGTTTTCATGCTTTCTCACAGTTTCTTCATCCATAACAACAATCACCAATATCACCACCGATCAGCTTGCCCTTCTGGCCCTAAAATCCCAGATAACCGAATCATCTTCAACCCAAATACTTGCGAAAAATTGGACAATGGATTCACCTGTTTGTAGCTGGATTGGAGTTTCTTGTGGATCTCAAAATCGGAGAGTTACCGCCTTAGATCTTTCCAACATGAATCTCACCGGAACCCTACTTCCTCACCTCGGGAACCTCACATTTCTCGTTTCTCTCAACCTGAGCGCCAACAATTTCAACGGAGAATTACCCGATGAGTTTTCCCGGTTTCGCCGGCTAAAAGCGCTGAATCTGAGCTTGAACCATCTGAACGGACAGTTCCCGCAATGGATTGGCTCATTAGAAGAGCTGGAATACTTCTCCGTTTTCAACAACAGCTTCACCGGAGAAATCCCGGAATCCATCTCTAATATGTCTAAGTTAACAGCTTTTGTTGCTTCTTATAACAAACTGCAGGGAAAGATTCCACAAGAAATCTTTAACATGTCGGTTTTGGAAAGGATATCCTTGAGTGCAAATAGCTTTTCATCTGGTTCCTCACTTCCGGATAACTTGTGTCATCTTCTTCCGGTCCTCAAAAGGCTGGATTTGAAAGGGGCGGGATTGACTGGTCAAATACCATCAACCATAGGCTTATGTTCTCAGCTTCAACGCCTAGTTCTTCCTTCGAACTCTCTTAATGGATTGATTCCAAGAGAAATTGGACTCTTGAAAGGGGTTTTTTTGCTTGATCTGGGAAACAATCGATTGGAAGGTAATAAAAGTTCAATTTCATTTCAGAATAAATTTAGTGTATTTAATTAATATTACCTTAATTTGTCCAAAAAATAGTCCAAACGACAGAGGTAGTGTAAAATTTTTATCTTGGAAATGCTGTCTTCTAATTTATTTTATGTAGGTGCGATCCCAAGAGAAATCGGAAATATGTCACTCTTGCAAATTCTGAACATCGACAACAACAATTTGACTGGTACGTGAAATATTCTTCAAGAAGTAATTTGATCACCAGATCAAAGTTCGTATCATACTTTGCCATAATTTTACTGCCTTGTACAAGCATGGACTGGCATGAAGTACAATTCTTGGTTTAAATGCATAATTGACTTGTTAGATGAGGACGTGACATTGTTGACCCACACTCCATAACTTCACCTCTTTTTACAATTTCATACATATTCTTTCAAGATACATTCAAAATTCATCGATTGCCGATAGTTTTAATGTCGAAGTACCGAAAAACTTGTGAACGAGGAGAAAATGAGGTGATTTTTGGGCCAATTTTTTACCTTTTTTTTTTCTGGTATGATCAGGCGGCTTTGAAGTTTTAGGCTTTTTGGCGGATTTTTTTTGGTTTTTTAATTCTTTTTTTTTAAACGAAATGTTGTAGGCTAAATTTTCTGCTTTTGGTATGGTCGATGATCATCGTTTTTTTTTCGGAATGGGTGATCGTTTTTTCTTTTGGTGCGATCGCTTTTTTTTCTTTTTTCTTTTTTTTTTAGATGTAATCGGCAGCTTTGATGTTATGGAGAACAGAAGGTTTAAATTGCCTCTCCTGTAAATATCCAATGCAAGGATTCATCGGATTTTTGTCTAAGAAATCCCCATGGATTATTTTTCTACTACAAGTGTGATTCCAATTTTGTTGTTCGGTTTACAGCAATGAGACAATGAACATGGAATTTTGAACACTGAAGTATGAAAAATTGGATATTACTAAATACAACTTCATTTTACTTGGCGCAGCTTCATAGGGGTATTTTAGTCTATTTAATAAGCTGTGCAAAGTAAAATTAAGCTGCGTTTAGCAATACTCTTTTATTATACACTTTGATTTAACTTTTTCAAAAAAATAAGTTTTTCAATTTTTTTTTTTTGGTAAAGTGTAAATTTTCATTCATCTCAAACAAGACATTTACAAATGTACATTATGGAATCACAATCCCAAAACTCTCTAACAACCTTACATCATCACCTTGACCATTTCTAAACTGATGACTAACTCTCCAAGTGACCTCATTTTTCAGATTTTCAAACATTTGTTCAGCAGTCCTTTTTTGATCTCCAAATCTTCTACCATTTCTTTCTAACCATATATGATGAATAGCAGCATTCAGTGCAGCATGAAGAATCTTTCTTCCCAGTTTTTGCTGTTTCCGAATGTGCATGAATCTTATTGCATTCAGCACTCCAATTCCAGTCCTGATCCCCAACCATTTCCTGATCAAATTCACCAGCTGCTGTGAGAAGGTGCATGTAAAGAATAAGTGCAAACATGTTTCCTTACTTCTGCTGCACAGTACACAAGTTGGATCATCCACTGCAATCTGCATTTTCTCCAACCTATCACATGCTAACAGTCTACCACGCCGAGCAAGCCAACTGATATGACTATGCTTAGGCACAGAAAACTTGTTCCAAATTATTGGTGCTGCTTTGAACTTTTCCCCTTGTCCTCTGAGCCACTGATATCCACTGCTAGCTGTATATTCTTTTCCTCCATTCACCATCCATTTACCATCATGAACTGCTGGTTTCAGTTCATCCCTGATGCGCATTAACTTCTTCCAGTACCAACTGCAGTCAGCAGGTGGTTCATAATGCCAAAAATTTTACCTTTAATATAATAAGCATTCATCCATTTTATCCACAGACTTTCCTTCTGTTTGAATAAATCCCATAACTGCTTCCCAACCAATGCCTTATTCCAGCTCAAAGGTTCTTTCACATTCAATCCACCTTCTTTTTTGCTTCTACAAACATCATTCCAAGCAACTAAGGGCCAACTTTTACCACTGTCTTTCATGCCCCAAAGGAAATTCTTGCAACAGGCTATGATCACATTTGCATAACAGATTGTGGTAGAATGAAAATACTTGCCTAGTAATGGTGCAATGTGAGGAGTACAGAATTGATAAGCACAGTTCTCCCAGCACAGGACAAATGCCTAGTTGACCAACATCTCAACCTGGCAGTTACTTTTTCCACTAGACATTGACCATCAATTTTAGTCCATGCTGTTGGGGATATAGGTAAGCCAAGGTACTTCATTGGAAAGCTGCCTATACCAAATTCCATAATCTCCTTGATGTGATCCTTTACTTCTTCCACATGTCCTCCAAAATACAGATTTGATTTCCCTTCATTCACCTTAAGACCAGTTGAGTTTGCAAAATGATCTAGCACTCCTTTGATTGCTTTAGCAGTGTTAGGATCAGCCCCACAGAAGATTAAAAGATCATCAACAAAACTCAATGTTGTTATTTTCAGTGCTTCATATTCTAGATGTCTTTTGAAACCCTCTTTCTTAGCCTCACTGGTAAACAATCTAGTCAAATATTCAGCAACCAATACAAACAGAAAGGGGAGAAATTGGATCACCTTGTCTTAAACATCTTTGCCCTTGGAAGAAACCCACACTTTTGCCATTCAAATTCAATGAGTAGGAGTAAGTTGTAACACATGTCATGATCCACTGAATGAACTTCTCTGGAAATTTATACTCTTTTAGCATTTCTTCAATGAATTCCCAGTGCACAGAATCATATGCCTTTCTCAAATCCACCTTCATCATACAGAATGGTTTGCTGGATTTCCTGTTATACAATCTGATCAACTCTTGGGCTAACAATACATTATGTAAGATTAACCTTTTCTGTACAAATGCACCTTGATTAAGATCAACAAGATCAGGCAAGATAATACTCAATCTCTTACACAGCATCTTGGATATGCATTTATATATAGTATTGCAGCATGAGATAGGTCTATACTCAGTTGCATTCTTTGGAGAGTCATTCTTTGGTATCAGGGAGATGAGGGTGGAGTTTATTTGCCTTAACAATTTCCCACTTCTGCAAAATTTCAACACAGCTTCACAGAAGTCATCTCCTACAATATTCCAACACAGTTTTTTCATTTGTTAAAACTCTTTTTTGTTTCTTGTAATCTGAAAATGAAATAAATGATTCTTACGATGTTATAAACATTTTTTGAAACATATAAATTTTATTTTGAATTGTGCAAGCATAAAAAAAATTTCTCAAAAAGAGGGAATGGTCTCATTTACTTCATTACCTCAGAGAACCTGCGCTCGTTAGAAGTTATATGTTTGTTTTCATTTCCAAAGAAAATTGATTTCTTTTTTTCTTTTCAGAAAAAAAAATTTCGTTAGAAAAATAAAAGTTCAAAACTTTTTTCTATCGAACTTCATTTTTCTTCGAAAAGTTCCAGTAATGCTTTTGTAGTAACTAAATTAGTTGTATACTTCATAATGAAAGATTGATAAAATGGAGATTCACATATATCCTCTGAAAATGTTATGTGCACAATACAATATAATTCACTTAGACTTTGTCAACTGTACCCAAAAAAAAAGAATTACACTTTGTCAAGAATAAAAAATTTACATTATTTGGAACAATTAATCTAAGCCAGCCATCCAAGTTGGTTTATGTCATAGAAATAATTTCTGTTGTAGGAGTTATACCGGAAGAGATCGGAAAGTTATCCAGTATTCAACAAATCTACTTGGGAAACAACACTTTAACTGGTTCTATTCCGGCAAATATCTTCAACCTCTCCGCCGTAATGTGGATCGATTTAAGAAGAAATAATCTTTTCGGCAATCTCCCGTCAACAATGGGTTATACCCTCCCTTCCTTAAGAGAACTTTATCTCGGCTCAAATATGATTAGTGGAGTTTTACCAAATTCAATCTCAAATTGCTCCAATCTTTCGGTGCTAGAACTTTTCGAAAACCATTTCAGTGGTCCAATTCCTAACTTCCTTGGAGATCTTCCCTTTCTTCGATGCTTGCATCTCCAAAACAACAAGTTCACCAGAGAACCTTCCTCACAAGTGTTGAACTTCATGATCTCATTGGCAAATTCCAAATCTTTGCAAGATTTAACTTTGGACGACAATCCACTTGATGGTTTTTTGCCTGATTCTCCTGGAAATACTTCTTCTGCACTTGAAAGGGTATATGCTTCCAATTGTAAAATCAAGGGTGCAATTCCAAACTGGATGGGAAATTTTGGCAGCTTGCATACATTAGTCCTGGTGAATAATGAGATAACGGGGTCATTTCCGAATTCGATGAGAAGTTTGCAGAATCTTCAACGTGTGAATTTCCGTGGAAATAAAATGAGTATTTCTCTAGATTTTTTCTGCGCTTTCCCGCAACTAGGGTATTTAAGTTTGGGAGAGAATCTTATTATTGGGGGTGTTATTCCTGATTGTTTGGCATATAATACTTCCATGAGAAATCTTTACCTTAGTTCCACTGGTTTAAACACTACTCTACCTATGAGTATATGGAACCTGAAAGATCTATTAGAGCTCAACCTTTCTTCCAATTCACTAAGCGGTTCTCTACCCCCGGAAATCAGTAACTTGAAAATGGCAACTAGAATTGACTTCTCTAGAAATTACTTCTGCGGCAAAATTCCTAGTACTATTGAGGGTTTACAAAGCTTGCAAAATTTTTCCTTAGCCCACAACCAGTTGGAAGGACAAATCCCTGAGACAATTGGTGAAATGCTTAGTTTGGAATGGTTGGATTTGTCTTACAACCGTTTATCTGGTCCTCTACCAATGTCGTTAGAAAAGCTTCAAGATCTTACTTTCTTCAATGTCTCTTATAACAAGTTAAGTGGAGAAATTCCTTCTGTAAGGCCATTCACAAACTTGCCGGCTGAATCTTTTATTTCGAATCGAGCACTATGTGGAGATCAAAGATTTAATGTCCCACCATGCCGACATCCTAGTGGAAATAAGCAGAAACTGCTAATAATTTTGGTTGTGGTGGCTATTATAGCCGGTATCATGTGCATAGTTTTGATTTTCCTTAAGTGTGGAAGAAAAGTTAAAGCAGCTAATGGTGATGAGAAAGGTACACAACCAGATTCAGAGGACAGAATATCGTATTACAAACTTCTGAAAGCAACAGAGGGCTACAATCAGAATAATTTGTTGGGTATTGGAAGCTTTGGATCGGTTCACAAAGGTACCCTTGAGGATGGTACAATTGTAGCTGTGAAAGTGTTCAATTTGCATAGTGAAGGATCATTTGAGAGTTTTGACACGGAGTGCGAGGTATTGCGTAACCTTCGTCATCGAAACCTAACAAAAGTCATTAGTAGTTGTTCTAATCATGACTTCAAAGCATTGGTTCTTGAGTACATGTCCAATGGGAACCTTGATAGGTGGTTGTACTCGGCAAATTGTTTTCTCAATGTTAAGCAACGATTGGACATACTTATCGATGTGGCTTGTGCCCTACAATATCTTCATTGTGGTTATTCAACAACAATTGCCCATTGTGATTTAAAGCCTAGTAATGTCCTTCTTGATCAAGAAATGACTGCTCATGTAAGCGATTTTGGCATGGCAAAATTGTTGGGACATGAGGATGGCATCACATACACAAAAACGCTATCCACGCTTTGGTATGTTGCCCCAGGTGAGGCTTTCCTTTACCTTGTTTTATGTTTTAAATTTGCATTTCCTTTAATATCCTTATGTTAGGTTATAATAAATTCTTTTTATTATTATTGTTGTAGAGTACGCTTCTGAAGGTTTGATTTCGACAAGATGCGATATTTATAGTTTTGGGATCATGATGATGGAGGTCTTTACAGGAAGGCACCCTTCCAATGAAATGTTCGGGGAAAACATGAGTTTGAGGAGTTGGGTGCTAGAGTCTATGCCTGATAGACTGTCTAATGTTATCAGTGCTGATTTGCTATCCACATTCGAAAAACACTTTTCTGAAATGCTGGATGGAATTTGTTCAATTATGAATGTGGCTCTCATTTGCACACATGTAAATCCAAGGGAGCGAAGCAACATAGAAGAAGTTTTGGCAAGTTTGAATAAAATACGGCGGCAACTACTGCCATATATGGTTGAGGAGTGAATGTTCTTTAAATGTAATGTCTGTATATATGAATTTTTGTGTATCCAAACTTGCTTCACACAGTAACTTTTGTGTTATTTTTTAAATTACTCACATTTGAAATAAAGCACAATTCTGATTAAGTTTCATGGGAACATTAAGAAAAGGATACAAAGAAATTCATACACGAACGAAATTAAGCAGAGAGACTATATGAATGCTTTTACTTTGTTCTTTTTCTCTTTTCTTACTTCGCTTTTGAGCATATTAATAAGCCAAATGATGTCGCAAAATTTAAGGGATTAAACTTTTGCTGGTCCAGATTTTTGTTTTGCTTTGTGAAAAACAAAATTGTCGAGGTCAGAATGCATTTCTAATGTCGCCGAATTTATGCAAGCCTAGACCATTCTCTTCTACAAGAAGGCACACTCTCTCCAACGACCGTTAATGCCTTCTTTTGCTTTCATCTTTGTCTCCCCACGGAAATTTTTGGCACCTAGCTTCCATTGCACGAAGAACAGATTTTGGCGGATGTATTGCTGCAAATACATATGTGGTAATGGAATATGTCAAAATGGTTCGGTTAAATTTTGCCGTTTCTTAAGTTCAGTGAATTTATTGCAAATCCATACATTGAATTCACCAATGTATCTTGGTTCATACTTAAAACCGTCTATATGCATTCAAATACATGGTATGTCTGTGTATATACCCTAAAAAAATTTTAAGATACATTGGGTAAGTTGTTACTATTTTTCTCAGGGAAAACTTAATTGTTACTAGTTTTTACTGTCACAATAGAACCCTTTCTAGTTTTCGTAATCAATTGCAGAATTCCTTATTTTCAAGGTGAAATATTTATATCCTTGATGCAAATGAACGTTCTGAGGTACAAATCAAAGCCAATGTTGTGCAAGAAATAGATTGTGTTATCTATTTGATGTTGAGGTCCTGCATCGCTGGAGAAGGATGTTTTCCTAATCACAAAAGAGTAGGTTGAATGGGGACATTATACTTCCTTTGTCTCAAAAGATAGTTCACTTTTTGAATTTGTATTAGTTTTAGTATAAATACCAAAATTTAATGTGAAAACTTGGAGCGGTAGTATAGCATATTTGTTATGGAAAAGTTTTGTGATAATTTACCAATTACTTTGTAGATAACAAGTTCTTAAACTGAGGGATGAGATTTGGACGCATTTTCTACCACCTTCACACTTCTCTGTAACTTTTTGCATGATAAAGAGTTTGACTAATCACCGTATGGATTAAGATGTCAGATTTTGTACGTTATGGAGTCAACAATGTTGTAATATTCAGTGGAGCCGGCGGTCACAATACAAGGGCAGATGAGGAAAGTGGAAGCAATGTGAAGGGGAAGAAACAACCGAAAATATATTTTGTTCTAGTCACTGTTGTCATTAAGCACTAAAGAGGCAAGTTGAAGTCGCGCTGCCTTCCATGCTCGTACTATATGTTATATGTATGCAACTAAGTTTTGAAAGATAAGAATTATGAAAATGTAGTCATTGCGGAGACAAATGACTAATGTTTTCTCGAATGAAGAACGTCCACTACTCGCAATACAGTACTATTTAAAGAGTTATTTTTCTCAATGAAAGTGGTTTAGTATATAAATGATCTACCTTAATAACAAACCCAAAAAAAAAAAAAAGAAGAAGAGAGAAGGTTTTTTGTAAGTCTTATAACATATAGAAATCTGTAATAAATCAAATTTATATGGCTGATGGTTTAGCAAGACAAACCTCGCAAGGCTAGACGATGGGATACCTACACTATGAGGATCTTTCAACTTTAATTAGAGGTAATTTAATCTTCGATCGATCTTCATTCCTATATCTTAGTGTTCGCTAGGAATTAGAGTAAATAAAGGTTTGTATTGTAATAAATAAGAAATTATATTTCTACGTTGGCATTTTATTAAATATAAAAAACTGCCAGGGAATTTTGAAAAATCTTTGTACCGCAGTTCTTAGCTTAATTGTTATTAAGAGTTGTTAAGGAAATTTTACAAAATGTTTGTACGACAAACTATTTTTATTAGGTAAGTCTTAAGCAATGCATTCTATACTATAACTTTTTGTTTTAAAAAAATGAAATAATATTCAAAAGCCAGAAGAAATTTCAATGTCATATGTAGAATAACCGTTCAATCCAAAAGCCAACCAAGTGCCAACCATATTTCAAAAAAAAAAAAAAAAATTACAAAGAAAAGAAATTAAGCCAACCAACCTTTCCATCTGTTAGTCGGAATCTGTTAAACCATCTTCTAATGATTCATCCTCAAAAGACACTGAGAGTTCGTAGTCATTGTCATCGTCACCAATAAATGAATCATCAACAAAATCATGGTCCTCATCATTGGTCTCAAGTGATTAAAAAATTGACGCTTCCATGAACTATAAAGGATCTGAATTGTACCTTGTTAATTGTTGCAATTCCATATTTGAATCAAGAACTAAGCATAAACTGGCGCTTCTTCTTGTTACAAATCTTCATTTTAGCAAGTCTTTAAGGAACATCATACGACAACATGGAGTTATATATGGCACGACTTGCCAATCCTTTCCCAATTTCAAATCTTTTGAATAGAAAACTTGTTTGACCTAGGATGCTAGTACGTATGGCTCGTCTTGGTATAATTTTCGAGACATTGATATGCAAATAATTTAGTTATTTTTAATATTTCATTATGCGATATTTTGTCAATATTTGAGCACAAAATATGCTATGTATGTGATATTATCTTTAATTGTAGAAATTGTATTCAATTGAAGAGATTGTTAGAGTTTTGGGCTAAATTAGAGATAAAAAGTAACATGAAGGGGCAGAATTGTAGATGAGAGTAATTGAAGAGGAGAAAAGCAGAGGACTTGAAGACTTAGAGGATTAAACATGCAGTTTTGTACTTCAAGACTTGGTTAGGCCGAGAGATTTCATGGGCTGCAGTTGATTGATTTGGGCCCTGATTTTTAGATTTTCCTTGAAGCCCGAGGTCACAAAAGCAGGCTGGTCTATTTGTTTCTTTTGGAGTTAATTGATGTTGGAATGCATAAAGATGAAGCCCATGTTTTCTTTTCTTTCGGCTGAAATTTACGAATTGGTGTTGCTGGTTCTTGGCCGAGAAGACACCGAAGACGCAACAAAAAAAATTCCAGCTTGCGGCGGTCCAAAAAAAAGAGCTTGAAGTTCGGCAGAATTTTAATTTCAATTAAAGTGGAAAAAAAGTTAACTTACTCTCCAAGTAGCCGGGTCTATAAAAAGAGAAACTAAGGTTCTATTTTGGAGAGCGAAGCACCAGAAACCCGAACAAAAGCAAAATAATCCGCCGCTGCACCTTGCTGCCCCACACACCACCTTGAGCTCCTTTTTCTCCTTCGCACAACTCCAGCAGCACCATTAACAAATCATCACCTTAATCATCATCATCAACTCTCCATCACCTAATCACCAAACCCACGCAACACCATCCTTTCATCACCAATAGCCTCATCCATCTTCACGCCTCACACCTTCAGGAGAACAAGTAGCTCAGGAGTCCAGAAGCAGGCAGCGGCCGAGCAAAATCAAGTTCTTGGGGCTCGACCTTTGCGACTGGATTTCGGCAGACTATTTTACTCCCGGTTCCCTTGTTCCTATTTTATTTTATTTTAATTTCAGACTTTGAGATGATGATACTAAATATTATTGAATTGTTTTTAATAATGTTTAGTGGCTAAGTCTTTTTAAGTTAGGGCTTGGATGTAGCTACCGAATTGTTTGGTTTATTTTGGTTCATAATATTTTAGCTTCTTTTATTGATCAATATTTAATATTCTTGATTTAATTCTTGTAACTAGCTGGCCATTATTTGCATGTTTAGAGGTGTTCAACTGAAGGAACGACAGTTGAAGGTTAGCACTAGTCCATAGGAATATTAAACTTAGGGAGTGAGCCACTACAGTAGGAGTATTGTCTTAGCAACTAATAACTCTTAAGATCGTAATGTGCTTTAATTATATCCTATAGTCACTAGTCATAGAATTAATCAGAGTAAGAGAATTATATCACGACGGTGAATAGTTCTTAATTAGGTGAATTGTTGTGAGATTAATGAAAATCCATAGCCAAATAATTATGAGTTAAAATTGAGCCAAGTATTCGGTAGGTGAACCCAATGTCCTAGGTTTTCTTTGTCTGGTTATCTGAATTAATATTATTTTCTTTTATTTTTATTTTTTTATTTTAGTTTTAAAGTTGATAAATCTGAGATTGCCATTAGTCTAAATAATAGTAAGAAGTGATTTATAACTGGTATCTAGTTTTCCTTCTCTGTGGGTTCGACCCTATTTTCCGCTATACTAGTTTTAAGTAGGTAAATTTATTTGATTAGTTGTAACGACAGGTCGTCAAATTTGGCGCCATTGCCGGGGAAGGCATAATTAATATCATAAGTAAATTACTCTCTTTTATTAGTTTAGATTTATTTTTATTTTATTTTATTTTAAATTTGCTGTTTTTTCTCTTCCTTTTGAAATATTTTTGTCTGGTTTTATATGCGAAGTGCTAATCCTGAGACTTTGCAATTTGATCCAGAGATAGAGAGAACAGCTCGTGCAAACAGAAAAGAAGCAAAACTAAGAAAGGAGAAGAATATGAGTGATACAATGGGTGATAATACAACTAACACTCGGACTCTGAGGGATTACTTCACACCGGCTGAGAATGTTTCTAGGCTAAGTATCACTAGGCCTACTGTTGCTGCCAATAACTTTGAACTCAAGCCGTCGTTGATCCAAATGGTGCAGCAGAATCAGTTCTCCAGATTCAGCAATGAGGATCCAAACGCTCATATAGACAATTTTTTGGAGATCCGTGACACTATTAAGATCAATGGAGTGACGTCAGATGCACTCCGACTGAGACTTTTCTTCTTTTCACTGAGGAGAGAAGCAAAAAGTTGGTTGAATACTTGTGATCCCGGCTCCATCACAACATGGGATAAGCTATACAAGGAGTTTCTAAGCAATTTCTTCCCACCAAATAAGGCGGCAAGATTGAGAAATGAAATCACAGGATTTGTTCAAGAGGATGATGAGACATTTAATGCTGCATGGACAAAATTCAAGGAATTCCAAAGAAGATGTCCTCACTATGGTATTGAGAAAAGTACTCCAGTTCAGACTTTCTATCAAGGATTGACAGTGTT